ATATACTATAATATACTATAAGATACTATAATACTATAATATACCATAATATGCTATAATATACTATAATATACTATAATATACCACAAGATACTATGATATACTATAATATACCACAAGATACTATAATACACTATAATATACCATAAGATACTATAATACACTAGAATATACCATAATATACTATAACCTGTATGGCTTTAGCTGTCAGCCATCCGCGCGGCCCAGCACGTGCAGGCTAGGAGATTTCTTTCCGAATCTGGATTCCTCTGTACACGGCTATTTACGGCACAGTTCTATACGTATATATATATATGTATATACACACACATACATATATATATATATATATATCTGTGCATCCGTATCTCTCTGCCTCTCTCAAAAATCAGCAGCCCCTGCCCTTTGCGACCAACAAGCTAGTCATCGTCTGTGGTAACACACCCACAGAAATCCAGATTTTGGGAACTCCCTCTAACAAATCTGAAGGTTCCCAGCAACTGTGCTTGAGGCTTGGATCCAGGGTCTGGGCTATGGCCCTGAAACAGCAGTGTTTTCAGATGGCAGTCATACATGAGCACGATTGAAGAAGGAAGGCTACTGTATGGACCATGTGGAGAATCAGGGTCTCGAAGTATGCCGCATGAAAGCCCCAGGACTCTGCGGAAATGTTGGGGTAGTAAGACTCCTCTATTTTTGCTACTGCCCTTTCTTGGGGTCCTTCTACAAACCCCCTTTAGTAGATAGAATATGGCTTTGGGGGTATACAATAATGAGATCCCTACCCCTTATTCTATTTACTTCAGAGCTGCTGCGAACCAGGAGCCTTTCAAAACAAAGCCAGCCATTGAGCAAAATCCACAAGCCCAGGCCGACCAGGTTGAAGCAATTCTGTGTCGTACGATTCAGAATTTGGTCTGAGGGTCTTGGAGGGTTGTGCGCAAATCACACCGAGGCTCCTAGAAGTGACCACTTCATGGGAGAGGATAGGTGCTTGACATCCCAAACACAAGACCGGGCACTGGAACGGGCACTGGAAACTAAGCCGTGTTTCCTCTCGCTATGACCCTTAAAAGTTTTCCGAATATCACAGTTTGGCCTGAAAGCTGGGCTTTTACACTGCACTTGCAATGGACTCCCTGGCCGTATTTTACATCCCTGCTCCTTCAGCCGGTACCCTCTGGGATTTCTGCATTCAACCTCAGTCTCCAACATGCCTCTCGGAACCTGTCAGTCAAGTATACCGGCAAACCTTCCTGCCATTGATCCTGCTTCATCTCCTGTCCACAAAATGAATTGTCAAGCCAAGGATTCATGTTACCTATCACAAAATATATAAGTACTATTATTGAACAAAGTGGGTCTCGCCGGTCTTCATTTTTAGGGGATAGGGTTACCCAAGATTGTAGCAAGGTCGACCACAAGCTGGGTTTTTGCATTTGCCGCATCTGGCTTTCTCCGCCGAAGTGAAACGACTGGTGGACGTGTGCCATAACTTTTGCACGTTTTGTGTCCTTGCAGTTTGGATTCTTAGCTATTTTGAATAAGGGACCCTGATGATTTGGCACATGCCTGGTCATCCAAGCTAATGACCAGGACTAGCATCGGGCCGGTCGAGTTGCACGAGATCCTGGGATATGGTGTCATGGGAGTTCAAGGGGCATGAAACAGCTTAATCAATCACAGAGCTTTACGGTGATTCCGGCTTGACGCTTTCAAAAGCCAGGAAGCAAGAACCAGCGATCTTCTCTGCAATGCCGCAAATAGGTTACCACACAAGTGGCCGGGATGTTCCCAATCCAAAAAATGCCGCACCCCATCCGTCCCAAAAAATGAGGCACATGCTAGAAACCCAAGGACGTATTCTTCTCGTCCCTTCAGCCTGCCCAAAGGATCCTTTCAGGGCTTCTCTTGTCCCCTAAACCCTACTCCCTAAACCCTTAAACCTCCAAAACCCTAAATCCTTGACCCACTAAACCCTAAACCCCTAATCCCCTAAACCCTTAACCCTGAACCCTTAAACCCCAAAACCCCTAAACCCCTAGCCCTTAACCCGAATCCCTAACCCCTTCAAGCCCCGCATCGCTTCGCATCCCTGGCAGCCACAGCCCTTCGGTCCCATTTCAAGGGCCCAAGGTTCTGACATTAACAACAAACTGAGGCCTGGAGCCCGCGCCTGTCTATGAGGTTTTAGGGTTTAGGGTTTAGGATTTAGGGTTTCGGGTTTAGGGTTTAGGATTTCAGCTTTAGGGTTTAGGGTTCAGGGGTTTAGGGATTAGGGTTCAGGGTGTAGGGTTTCATGTTTACAGTTTAGGGTTTTAGGTTTAGGGATTCGGGTTTAGGGTTTAGGTTCCCTTTAAAGGTTTTTTTCTTTCGGCATCAGACATGGACATATAGGGACAAGAGAGGGACTCACGCGAGCTGCCTCGACGCCGCACTCCACTTAATCCTGCCGCCTCCGATCTCTCACGCCTTCGAGTTCCGGACATCGAACGGCTTCTGCCCCTCGTGGAAGAGCGGCGCCTGGTGGGACTGCGGCGCTGCATGGAACCGCTGCAGCGGGTTCGGCTGCGGCGGACCATCCGGCTCTTAGGCCTGGCTCCACGGGCAGGCTCGAGCTGCTGGCCCGCACGCTGATCAGCTTCCTTGAGACACGCTGCCCAGGGACGGATCCCTTCGCACCAGGCCAGCCACGCCAAGTGTTTCACGGAGTATCTTTCGTGCTGCTCTATGGCAGACGGGCACGGGGCCACTTTTGTGCCGCACACTTCGCAGCACTTCCGCTCCTGCCAACAGTTGCGGCCAATCTTTTAACGGAAAAACGCAACAACGGCACGCCTGACTGCCAAACCCCGTCCTTGCGCGGCCTCCGACCACGGTCTTGGTCCTGCCGCGGATTGTCACGAGAGATGACACGCCCTGCCTGCAACAAGACCTCTCCGCGAATGCGGCGGGCGTCCCGGTCCTGACACAAACATTT